GAATTTGGACCTCTGTGTCTATGTACAGTGGCTTCACTATGCTTACTTGTATCTCCCATTCAATGTAACTCTGTTGATTCTGTAACTTTACAACTAGCCATTGGTTTAAAACTAGAATATTGCTAATATTTGTATTTCATTTTTATTGACCCCTCCCACTTGTAAATAACCAGAAAGGAGGAGAGGGGGAGAACAGAAAAATAAAGGAATCGGTAAGAGAGGGAGGAGATCATCATCTGTTAGGACAGAGGTTCCCAACCTTTTTTATACTGCGGACCAGCAACCCCATTCACAAACTGTAGGCGGAGCAGCATATTTTTATTTGCATATTCGCAATTGGGAGCCCCTTTGCTGGGAGATAATCACAGATTTTTTTTTTTAAAGTTAGACACAAGCTTTTCACTTGTTTTGTGGGGTTCCTCTTTTCCAAATTGCTACCTGCTCTAGATCTAGGAGGTCAGCCACGCCTCTGTCCCTGGGGGCAGCCTGCTCTTCAATCTAAGAAGTATGAGTTGTTTGAGATCTCTCAAGCGCCTGTAGCTAAAAGCTCTTTAAGGCTTAAATCCAAAGAAGTGTTTCATGGACTAAGTTATCAAATGTCACCTATCAGACAGTTTTTTGCCCTTTTCTGAAAACGCTGATTGGATAACTTCACTTACCACTCCGGTCTTCATCTGAAGAAGTGGGCTGTGCCCACAAAAGCTCATGATACCATCTATATGTTTTAAAGACTTTAAAGTGCTTCCAGACTATTTGTTGTTTAAGTTTTTCACTTCCCAGAGTTAGTTAAAATGTGTGTGTCTATCCTCAGCCTAGCGACTAGTAAAAACGCACAATGCTTGACAATCTCAGCAGAGAAACCTAAAACGGAGTTGGCAGGGAGCCTGAAATCTCTCTCCAGCAGAGCCCTTTCAGGTCAGAGTTGAGGAGCACTGTTGAGTCAGATACTCATGTAAAAAAATCAACACAATTCAAAGAAATTCTTGCATTGCATTAAAAGTAGTAAAGGTTGTAGGTCTCCTAAGATTTCACTAGTTTATAAAATAAACTGCAATTTTGCCTGTATGATGTACTCAAAACTTAGACTTGAGAAAAATGTGATAAAATAGATGGAGTATATTTTGTGATTCAACACTCTTCATCTCCCACCCACCCCCTTTTTTAAAAAGTTATAAGCTCACTTGCCAACTTGCAAATTTTGGTAATGTGTCTCCCACTTGTGTGTTCGCGCATTAGCAAGTCTACTCTCCAAGCTCTAGTGCACAGATGGACCACTGTACTCACATGGATTCACTGAGTTCTGTGGGGCTGCGTGTGGGTACATTGGTACCCGCAAGTTATTAATTGCAGGGAGAGCACCTAATCCTGCAGAACAGATATCAAGACCAGAGGACACATTGACTTTAGTGCTTCTAAGGGGGAGGAAAGTTCGAGCAGAATTTCAAGAATTCTAATGAGTTTTTCTATCAAAGTTGTTATTTTTTGTATCTTTCACTAATTTATACAGGCAAATAACATCTTTTCCCCTCCCATAAGCTACTGCTGTATACCATGAATCTAGTCAGTCCAGCCTGCTAGAGCAATAAACCTTTAAAAAAAAGTCCTCACTAAAACACCCTACTTTCAGTATTTTGAGAGCAAGTAGAAAAGTTGCTCTACATCCTACATTTACAACCTTGGTAGATATTTGGTCAATTTGCATGGCTGGCTACAACCTGCAGAGCTGCAAAACTGTCCATAATTGTTCTTTATTTGGGATTTTTGCATCTTCAATTAGACACTGAAGACAAAGGCTCAGCTCTGGTCTACACTACAGAGCTACAATGATAGATCTACATCACTCCGGGGTGTGAAAAATCCACACCTTGAGAGACATAGTTTTACCAACCTAACCCTCTGTTTAGAGAGCACTGCATCAACAGGAGAGTTTCACCAGTATACACAGCTACTGCCTCTCAGGGAGGTGGATTAACTACCCTGATAAGAAAGTTCTCTGTGTAGGATCATCATTTAAGTAATACAGCTTTTTAAGCATAAACCTGCCCTCAGAGACAGAACACTAGACTAGCTGGACTCCAGGCTAATCCAGTATGGCAATTCCTGTATTCGAGTTTCATAGGCATCTGATGTGATATAAATCTCAATTTTAATAAAGAAAGAAAAATAACTGTAGGAAAGTACGGAATCTACAATCTGATTTCTCCAGAAACACAAGCTGGCACATGGTAAACCAGAAGCGTAATCAGACTCATTAAAGCCATCCCTTACCACCTGGGATTACAATGTAGGAGTTTGAAAGGGACAAATGAAGCCACACCTTACAAGGTGACTATTTAATAAGTAATTGACTCTTGCCTCAAGTCACATTTCCTCGGCTGAAGATTTGTCCAAATTTCGATGCAGCAAAACTGAGCATTTGTGGGGTACTGCAACAATGGCAGAGTAAAACAAAATAATTTCAAAACACTGAATTAACATCTCAGATTTACAGATGTCAACTGACGGGATCTAAGAGTAGCCCACATTACAGAGTGATAGCGCTTACAGTGAGAAATACTAGAGTCAAAGTATGACAGTGACGTTAAAGAATGATTCTAGAACCTTTCCTCTCCAGCTAGAAAAAAACTTTTGAATAAATGCATGATAGGTCAAATCCCAAATATTCATACTTGAGATGAACTCACTTGAGGTCTCATGCTCTCCTTGCACAGTAACTACTCCTTTACCAGCCCCCAAATCAAACACTGGTCTTTCACATGCTAAGACCTCCTACTCAGCAACCATTTCCCTTATTTCATATGCTCTATTCCCTTCATTCAAAGGCCATATTTGTTACTCAGAATGTCTCCATTCTAGTCAAGAAGCATGTTTGAAATGCAAACCATCTACATGATGATTTATAGCTGCAATCAAATGCATGCACGTTGCATGAATGGTGTTGAAAGAAAGTAACAGTAACTCAGATTTGCACTGAATACAAGGTGAGGGTTCAAAGGCCAGCTAGTAAGGCATCCCAGAGAAGGCCAGTTCCTGATTCCAAGAGCTCATCTAGACTACGCTAAAGTGTTGAAAGAGGATATGCAAATTCCACGGGATATGGAATTCCCGATCTCACTTTAGAAAGTGAAAGTAATTTGGACACGGCTTTTTCGGCGAACTGCCCCCTTTTTTGAAAAACTGCGTAAACCTCATTTTTTGAGGAAGATCTAGCATAGTCTAGATAAGTAGGGGTTTGCCAAAAAAGCCGCATCCAAACTACCTTCACTTTCGAAAGAAGAGCTTTTGAAAGTGAGATCAGAAAAAGATATGCAAATTCCCACAGAATTTGCATATCCTCTTTTGACACTTTAGGGGAGTCTAGATGAGCCCCCAGCGAGAAGGCCTGCTGAGCAGAGTTGAGAAAACAAAATTGGCTGCAGCTCTGTTAGGAACTGGTGAGAGACCAAAGGGAAAGCAGCAAAAGGTGGTTGGGTTTAAGAGAGTTAAGCAAGGAGGAACACTGAATCCAACAGACCTAGACTCTTCTAGGGCCAGGGTCACCTAGGGCTTTTAGCGGTCTATTCCTGGGATCTCACTTTCCAGCTGGGATAATAAACCACAACAGGCCAAGGATCAGAGTTTAGGACTTTACATCTAAGATGACTGTAAAAAAAAAATCTATATAAACCAGAACTTTGTAGTCTTCAATCAGGGCCTCTTTTGTGTTAGGTCAATAAGGAGAATCTATCAACTGGGGCATTGTCTCACTTAGTAAAACATTTGTTTTACTGATTCCATGTGCCATTAATTCAATGGCAAATCACTTCTGCCTCCCAGATGAAGTTTCCACGTGTGGATAGTTGCTCTCATGCTCAAGCCAGTAGAAATACTAGAACCCAAGCAGACTCTCTGAAACAGCATGCGCACTTCACTGAATCCAGGTGGTCCAAGCGAGAACAGAGAGGCCTTCAGAAAGTATGCAGGTGAGGAAGGTTATGTGCATCTTTTACAACTACAGCAGGGTTGTCCCAGGTCAGAATAGACACTCCAGGTTATTCCTATCGAGGCTATTCAGAAAATTTCAGGTGCCTGGCCCAGGGTGGAGTAAACTTCTGATAATCCGGCACCTTTAGGATCCAGGGGGTGCTGGATTATCAAATATGCCGGACTATCGGAAGGGGGGGTTATGAGGGGACTGGGGGGGGGGGCCGTGCTGCGGGACCAACCCGGCAGCACCCCAGCTGCTCTACTCCAGACTTCCCCAAGTTAGCTGCTGATGAAACAGACCAGCGGCTGACTCTGGGAAGCCCGGGGCAGAGCAGCTCCAATTGTCCGGCTGCCTGGATCACTTCCGAGTTCCAGGTGGTGCCGGACTATCAGGAGTGCCAGACCACTGGATGCCGGACAACTGGAGTTTTACTGTAATTATTTCTAAGTATAGTATGCAGTGAAAGTTGTATAGTATGTGAAGTCTACAGAAATGGAGGCCACTTTCCATTATTCTTTTATGGAAAGCAAGGCAAGCTGAAGTTCACATAGTCTCAATGGAAGACTCCTCAGAAATCCTGATTCCCCAACAGCCTGCTCCTAAACAACTTCCAGGCAGACTCCCCTTCCTGCACTTCCTCCTCATTTATTTTGCACATCCATAGAAGCACAGAGTGATGCTTCTTAATGAAAAAGATAGAATTCTCTTTCACCTCACAGCTATTTCTTGAGGGTGCTGGGTGTCAAAGATCTGGAAATGAATGAAAAAGGCGAAGTGTGCAGCTAGGCCAGAACTGTCAAAGATGGGTATCCTAAATTCATATTTAGGTCCTTATAAGAGCTGTTTTAGCAAAGCAACAAATACCCAGACACTCCCACTGAACAAGCAATCATTAGAAGTGAAAAACATTGGTGTGTCTGAAAAGTTTGATCTTGTTTCTTTTCCACAGTGCTGGTCTTTCTGTGGAAGGTTTCAGGGGGAAAAGAATCTCTAGAAAGCCCTGTGATTATTTTTAATATTTGGTTAAACTCACCCAAACTGATGCCATGATTTGATTGCTTCACTGAAAACCTGAAAAAGAGAACAGAATAAGACACTGTGCTAATTTACAGTTACTGATAAAAAACAAAGTTATCAACTTTCCAATGTTTAAAAAACATGGAAGAGTTTTTCAGAAAGCATCTTTTACTGAAAGCCAAAGTAAAAGTTTATAAGGATTAAAATAAGCTAACTTCTCCCAGGAAACTATAAAGCTCCCTTGAGTCTTGGATCATACTCTTGTATATTCTGTCAAAGTACAAACACAGCTCAGAGTTTTGGAATCTTAAGCCTGATCTTTACACGTTTTTTCCATTCAGTGGACATACTGTTTAAACATACTCAGCTCAATGTTTTGTTTAAAACAATCCTCCCGCCCTTCCTGATATTATAAAAACAAAAATCTGGAAAATGTCTTAACAGTAGGAGGACTTCCCCTCTCCTCAGATCTGGGTTGTGTGCCTATCCATCACCTGATACCCTAGCTGGGACTGCAAGATTAATTAACACTCTGGCTTCACCTCTCCTGCAAACTGAGTTTTCTTTGCTGCATTAGATTTAAAATGGCTTAACTGAATCAAAACAGCTTGTAAGTTCCACCTAGCAGGAACATTTTATGAGGAATGGGTGTGACTGCTACCTTTTGAAATGAATTACAGATCTTGGGCCCTTTCCTCTCCAGCTTTGCTTTTCGGAACAACACCATTGATTTCACTGGCACTTTTCATTGGATAATTACTCACTAGTCCTAAATTAACTAGTTCCTCACACTGATAGGCATTTTGAATTTGATCATTGATTTATGTTGCTTCAGATACACATAAGTAATGCTGAAATAACACCACAGTGTTAACATACCCTAATTAGAAACCAGACTTTTTTGAGAAGTTTCAACTTATATCTTTTTAAATTACAAAACTATTTCCTAAAGATTGCACATTTTTATTTTGTATTGTTATCAAAGCCCATGGACTTTAGCCGTGTGCATCTACTCGCTAGAATCCTTCAACCCTTTTGGTAATAAAGATAGCCATACTGGGGTCAGGCCAACGGTCCATCTAGCCTAACATCCTATCTTCTGACAGTGTCCAATGCCAGGTGCCCCAGAAGGAATGAACAAACAGGTTACAAAGTGATCATCCCCTGTCACTCATTCACCATTCATTATGTATCAATGCTACTATAAAGCATCTGAAAACTAAATGTGACAAATGTGATCAGCTACATTCATTGAATCCAACACTGAAGAATTAACCTCCACTACATGAATTCTTGTTTCCAGCAATTTTTTTTAAAAAAGTGCACTGTTGGGCACTTGTCTCCTAAGGGTACGTTTTCTTTTAAAAACAAGATTTAAAAATCTGTTCCTACAAATGCTTTCAGGAAGTATTTCTCCTTGGCTGTGTCTACACTGGCGCGATCTTGTGCAAAAGCAGCCGCTCTTGCGCAAAAACTTGCTGCCTGTCTACACTGGCCGCGTGTTCTTGCACAAGTAAACTGACGTTCTAATGTATGAAATCAGGGCTTCTTGCGCTAGAACTTTTACGCTCCCGCTCAGGAATAAACTCTTTTGCGCAACTGTTCTTGCGCAAGAGTCCAGTGTAGACAGGCAACGTTAATTTCTTGCACAAGAAAGCCCGATGGTTAAATGGCCATCAGAGCTTTCTTGCGCAAGAGAGCATTTACACTGGCATGGATGCTCTTGCGCAAAAGCACATCTCTTGCACAAAAGCACATGCCAGTGTAGACGCTCTCTTCTGGAAGAGTTTTTGCAGAAGAACTCTTCCACAAAAGAGTTTTTGCATGAGAACGTGCCAGTGTAGTCGTAGCCCTTTAGTATTGGCTGCAAGTCATACCCACCAGGGCGAAGCAAGCAACCCCTGAAAATGAAGCCCAGTATTCCAGCAGTTGCAAAGCCACATGTGGGAAGGGCACCTAACCCTACAGAACACTTGCTGGCAACTAGTTAATCACAAAGCAGGGGCTGTTCCTCCTTACGTCTAGCTCACTAGTCATCTTACTGAAAACCATATTAAAACACTTAATAGTTCTCCAGGTCAGCAATTGCTCAGTTGCCACAGGGAGGGCACATGGCCCACAAGGCAAGACATTAAGGCTGTGTCTGCACTGGCATGAATTTCCGGAGATGCTTAAAACAGAATAGTTTTTGTTATAAGTATTTCCGGAAAAAGAGCGTCTACATTGGCAGGATGCTTTTCCGGAAAAGCCCTTTTTCCGGAAAAGCATCTGTGGCCAATGTAGACGCGCTTTTCCGGAAAAGAGCCCCGATCGTCATTTTCACGATCGGGGCTTTTTTCCGGAAAAGACTACTGGGCTGTCTACACTGGCCCTTTTCCGGAACAGTTTTCCGGAATAAGGACTTATGCCCAAGCGGGAGCAGCGTAGCTTTTCCGGAATAGTGGCTGATTTTGTACAGTAGAGCACTGTTGCTTTTCCGGAAATTCAAGGACCAGTGTAGACAGCTCGCAGCTTATTCCAGAAAAGCAGCTGATTTTCCGGAATAAGTGGCCCAGTGTAGACACAGCCTAAGACAGCAGCGAGCAGCCGAAGGAGAGGCAAGAGAGGGTTAACTCCAGCAGGGCACCTGGTGAAGAAGGGGGCTTGGCGTGGGACGGCCAGAGGGTTCCACTCTCTAAAGCCAAGGGAGTGGCCTGACTTTCCCACACTCCCGAAGCTGAGGGATGCGAGGGCTCCCCCCTCTCCGCTCGGGGGGGATCGGGGCTGCTAGTTGCCCCCAGCCCAGATTTCACTGGGACCCGCTGGAGCGATTCACGCTGGCGCAAGCGGCTTGGGGCAGCCTCAAAGTGGCCCCAGCTGCGTGGCCGGCCAAAGCGCAGGGCAGCTGAGCGGGGCAAGCGCATTAGCCTCCCCCACGCCGGGCTGGGCTGGGGAAGCAGAAAGCGGGTCCCCCTGCGCCGAGACACGTACCTGGGGGTCCCTGCACCCTGCCCGCGGCGAGAACAGCAGCAGCGAGCGGCGCCTGAGGCAGCAGGAAGATGCCCAGCAGCAAGGGTAGGTACAGAGCCTCCCCCCGAGCCCGCCTGCTCCCTCCCCCCCTGCCAGGGCCCGGCCTGGGGGCCCCCCTCGCAGACCCTGCTGGGCTGCAGGTCACGCGCCTTGCGTTGTAACGCCACACAACTAC